CAATGCGCCCACCCTCCTACCCACACCAGCACCTGGCAGGCGTCCACGCCCCCGCTGAGGAAACCCACGCACATCATGCGTGGGGTGATCTGCTCCGGCAGCAGGCCCTCGCAGGTTGTCTGGTTGATGATGCGGATCTCACCCTTCTGCAGGATCAGTGCCCCGGAGCCTAGGGAGAGGGCAGGGCCGGGCTGGAGCTACAGAGGAACCAGCAGCCTGCCAGATGCTCCCAACAGGGTCCCCTGACTAGCAACATTTCTGGAACGACCCAAACGCCATGGCTGACCAATAGGCGTGCAGACCTCTGTCAGGTGAGGGACAGGACAGGCACTATGGAACCAGGGGTGAAGAAACCAGAACAGGAAGACAGAGAGGAAGTGTCCCAGCTGCCCTGGGGCTTGGTGAGGGCAGAGCTGTAAGTCCGCTCATTTTCTTTTTCTTCCCTGCATTCTATACATTTGCAGCCATGTGCTGAACTAATATTATGGCAGACTTTTTCACCCTAGCATTTGCCAGCTACTGGCCCACCTCCCTCAGTTGCAGGAACAGGTGAGGGAGAGATGCAGAAGGAACAGGTGCAGAAGGGACACAGATGCAGTGGAGGCCGGCTCCCATGATGGGGCACACCACAGGCCCTGCTCAGGAGGCCCTTCTAAATCACAAAGCGCTTTGCACCCATGCTTGCATGTGCCATAAGCACCATTTCAGAAGGTGTTTTTTGTTTTGTTTTGTTTTTTTAGTTGGAGTCTCATTTTGTTGCCCAGGCTGGAATGCGATGGCATAATGCTCACGGCCATTGCATCCTTGACCTGCTGGGCTCAGGCGATCCTTCTGCCTCAACCTTCCAAGTAACTGGAACTACAGGCATGTGCTACCACACCCAGCTTATTTTTTGATTTATTGTAGAGACAAGGTCTCACCAAGTTGCCCAAGCTGGTCTCGAACACCCCGGCTCAGGCAATCCTCTCTCCTCAGCCTCCCAGAGTGCTGGGATTACAGGCTGAGCCACCACACCTGGCCCAGAAGGTGTTCTTATCTTCATTTTACAGATGAAAAAACAAGGTCAGAGAGTTTAAGCAGCTCACCCAAGGTCATTCGGTAGTTAAGGGACAGAGCCAGACCTTCACTCCTAAGTCTGACAGGCAAATCTCACACCACTCTTACTAGACTCCCCCATTCCACCTTGGCCGGACTCATCCTGCCAGGCAGAGATCGGGCAGCCCAGCAACCACACAAACCCCATGTGCAGACGAGCCTGGACACCAAGGTCCCACGGCCTCAGAGGAGGGCCCGCAGCTCACCTCCATATTGGGTGTGCCCCCAGCCTGTGACCCAGATGGCCTTGCCGACGGGGAAGACATGGGAGGCATCAGGCAGACAGACAGGCCGCACCACGGAGCTGTACTCGGCTGGCTGTTCCAGCTCCAGCAGCGCGATGTCATAGTCGAAGGTGAAGTCGTTGAAGGAAGAGTGAGAGACGATGCGCTTGAGCCGGCGCTCCTGCACGCCAGGGGCGCTGCGCTGGCTCTGGTCGTGCAGGCCCAGGAAGGCTGTCCACTTCCTGGGGTCCGAGTAACTGCAGGGAGAGCGCTGTGAGGCTGTGACCACGGGTCCCTACCCCGAGTTCCTCAGGGCTCCCGAAGGCTGCTCTGCACAGACAAGGCAGCAGCAGCTGTGGAGGCCACATGACAGGGGGCCAACTCCCACGTGGTCTTGACTCTGGAAACTTGACTAAGTACCTCCCGCTGTAGCACTCAGCCCCTCTTCGCCGTTTTTCCCCCTCTCCAAATTCCTTTTTAACCTGATGACCAAAACAGGTATCTTATGAACCTTATCTTTCACAGAAAGAATAACACAAAAATCAACCCAAATAATGTTTTTTTTGAGTCAGAGTCTCATTCTGTCACCCAGGCTGAAGTGCAGTGGCACACTCACGGCCACCGCAGCCTCAGCCTGCTGGGTTCAGGCCATTATTCCACCTCAGCCTTCCAAGAGCTGGACCCACAGGTGTGTGCCACCATGCCCAGCTAATTTTTTTGATTTATTGTAAAGACAAGGTCTCACCATGTTGCCCAGGCTGGTTTTAAACCCATGGGCTCAGTCAATCCTCTCACCTCTGCCTCCCAGAGTGCTGGAATTACAGGCTTGAGCCACTGCTCCCGGCCCCAAGTAATTTTTTTAATGCAGTAGCATATATCATAAGAACAAAATGAATTGACAAATATATTGAGTTTTATCTACTGCATTTGTTGTTGGCAGTGAAATAGGTCTAGCGGTTCTGAAACTGCACCATGTAACCTAGAGGACCGGGAGCAGAGTCCAGTGTGGGAAAAAGGAGACAGATATGGAATGGGGTCTGGGGTATCAGGGAAACATCATGGTTTTAAAAAATTGGCCTAGGCTGGGCTCAGTGGCTCAACCTATAATCCCACCACTTGGGAGGCTGAGACGAGTAGTTTGCCTGAGCCTGCAGGTTCAAGACAAGCCCGGGCAACGTGGTGAGACCTCGTCTCTACAATAAATAAAAAATTAGCTGGGCGTGGTAGTACGCACCTGTAGTTCTGGCTACTTGGAAGGCTGAGGCAGAAGGGTCACTGGAGCCCAGCAGGTCGACGTTGGGGTGGCCGGGGGCAAGCCACTGCACTCAGCCTGGGCGACAGAGTGAGACTCCAACTCAAAAAAAAAAAAAATTGGCCTAAAAGCAATGCCTTCTTCAATAGCACCTAGGACTTAGTGTCTAAATATCTTCCATCACTGGAAGGAACCTTGGAAAAACGACTGATTTCAGATAGGGGCTTAAAGGAAAACATAAAGCAGACCTGGAAAGTTTTGTTTCCGCGGGAAATAAGTGAGCATTCCATCAAAGCAGTCAACCTCACTGGCTGGAACCAGGATGATATGAACACCAAAAGCAGTGACAGGAGGAAACTACCACACATGAGGAAGGATAAAAAGAATGAGGGGGGATCCATCAGTCCATCTTGAGTTTAGAAAGTAATTTTTAAAAAATGTATAAGGGTAGAGGGAAAGCTCTTCTTTACAGAGAAAAACCAGCTACCAAACATAGAAGAAATGATAGAACAAGGAATCACATTCACATGTGCCACAGCAACAAACACATGTAAGAGTCACCAAGGGATGCAGAAGCCGTGGGGCAACTGGTAATCATGTGGAAACAAGACATTCACACGGACTCAAAGCACCAGGTGAAACTGCGTATTCATAACCACCCCTTTACGGCGGAAAAAACCATTGGACCCCACCTGAACCAGATTCCTCCCCCAGCCGGTGCCCTCCATGGAAGACCATGTGTTTCCTGGGAAGGGTACAGCATCACCATGAAGTGTTTCCTAACTCAAACTATGGGAAAACAGTCAGAAAAATCAAATTGGGAGATATACTGCAAAGCAACTGGCCTGGACTTTAGAAAAATGCCAGTGTCATAGAAGGCCCAAAAGTAAAGGGCTTGGAGAACTATTCTAGATTTAAGAGAGACTAAATAAGCCTAATAACACAGGCATAACACCGTTGACTGGCTCCTAAAATTTTTTTTTAAGCTATTTGATTAGCGGACATCAGCAGTGGGGACAGCATACTGGCTCATGGCATGGATCAATGCTGCCGTTTCTTTTCTTTTTAAACAGGAAGCAAGATTTATTGGTGGGGATGAATGTGCTGCCACTTCTGAGTGTGACCCCCACCTGTGATTACGTGAGACAATGTCCTTGTCTTGAGAGACACAGGTTGACGTCCTTGAGAAGCATCATAATGGCTGGGCCTAATTTGGAAACGGTTCCTCAAAAAAGATGTGCATGTGTGAAGAGAGAAATAAAACCAAGGTGGTCAAACTCAACAATTAGGGGATACAGATATAGGGTACGAGGTGTTTGTTGTACTCATTTTTTTTCCTTTGATGGTATTTGCAACATTTTTGAAGGTTTGAAAATTTTTCTTTTTTCTTTCTTTTTGAGTTGGAGTCTCACTGTTGCCCAGACTGGAGTGCAGTGGCCGCTCCCGGCCACCAAAGCCTCGACCTGCTGGGCTCTGGCGATCCTTCCGCCTCAGCCTTCCGAGTAGCTGGAACTATAGGCGCGCACTACCACGCCCAGCTAGTTTTTGATTTATTGTAGAGATGAGGTCTTGCCAAGTTGCCCAGGCGGGTCTCGAACCTGCAGGCTCAGGCAATCCACTCACCTTGGCCTCCCAATGGAGGCCTCCCAATGGAGGCCTCCCAATGGAGGCCCACTGAGCCCGGCCGAAAATTTTTCAAAGCAAACAATTGGAAAAATATATCTTTAAAATAGAAAATGTGTATGACAGAAAAGCATAAAGATCTGCCTCCTTTTCCCTGACCTCTCAGGGAAGTCAAGAGGCTGCGCACCCCTCCCCATCCCAACCCAGCAGCCTCCCCTTGCCTGGGACTGAACCAAGCCCCTCCTCTGTGTCTGTCCCCTACCCCTGCCCAGACCCCTCATTGGGCTGCCCTGTGTCCCTCCCCTCCTAGCCATTCCTGCGAACACCTCCCTACAGAATCTTGCCGCCTCTGGTCTTTCCTTACTCTAGTCTGTTGCTGCCAGAAAACAACTTCCTAGAAACTGCATCCGTAAGGTCCTTTTCATTTTATTCAACAGCCTGAAAGGATTTCCAAAACCTGCCAGGTGAGGCCTTGCCACACGAACAAGCCTCCTATGTGCACCGTTCATGGCCCCTTTCTGTTTCTCCCAATCACCCTCATGTCCAACCATGTATTTATCCACCCATGAGTTCATTCATTCAGTAATTACTGGGAGTCTATGATGTTTCAGGAATTACACCGGACCCAGTCTTCAAGTTCACAATGTGTGTGGTGGGCACTGGTCAGTGTGACCAGACTTTGGGAAGGCCTTGTGTGACACAGACTGCTGAGAGGGAGGCTGCCAAGTGCCGAGCCAAGGTGGACTCAGGAAGCAAGGACATGGTGGAAGAAAGGCAGTATGGGGGTGGGGGAGAGAAGAGCTATCCGAGTCTCCTCTGGCCCGTTTCCCATGATCCCAACAGATGCCCCATCAAGCTCTTGCCCCGCGCCTGCAGGCTCCCACCTCCTGTTCCCCATGCCAGTCCCGTTCACCCAGCAACCTTGGCTCGAGCCCCTTCTTCCAGGAAGCCCTCTCCACTAACTGACAAAAGCTCTTTTCCCTAAAGCCAATATTAGTCGGCCAGGACCGTTTTTGGCCATATCAGCAAACTCTGTCTCTGTCTGAGCTGAGAGCTCAGTTATAAAGCTGTAGCCACTAAGATCCCTAGGGTGACTACTGAGATCCCCACAGTGAATAACATGGTGTTGAAATGTGACTGGGACTTGCTAGCATTCAGGCAGAGTTTCCAATGTTCCAGGCACTCTTCTCAGTGCTGACACAGTAGATGGTCTTATCCCCCAAATAGCCCTGCAAAGTAAGTATGGCCATTCTTTTTTTTTTTTTTCTTTTCAGGCTGGTTTTGAACTTCTGGACTCAAGTAATTCTCCCACCCTGTCCTCCCAAAGTGCTGGGATTATAGGCATGAGCCACCATGTCCAGCCCTACCCTTTAAGTTGAGGAGGTACAGAGAGGTTAGGCAATTTGCACAAGATAACACAGCTAATATGTTGTAGGCCACAATTTGACCCCAGGTAGCCTGTGCCATTAACCATGGCATGATACCACCTCTCAGTGATACCCTATGAGCACTATGACTCAGCAGTGTGTTCAAGGTAACTTGACACCAGGTGCCTGCATACTTCACACCTCCCTGCCTTTGCACACAATGCTGCCTTTGTCTGGAAGGCCTGAACCACCTGGGTGCAGCTGACAAACACCTTCACCTTTCAGTTCATAAAGGAAGTACCAACAGGTACCCTCCCTGGCCCCTCTGGCATAATTCTAAAACTCCCTGCGCTGGGCCCAAGGTGGCCTGTACACAGCCCTGACAGTACTTACTGTGTGCATGTATGTGCACGTATGCCTGTGTATGCACAAGTGAGTGTACAATATCTTGTCCCTACCCTAGCAAGTCTATGAAGTACAGTCTGTAGGGACCAAGTCTTTCTCACATGTCTCCTGAATACTATTAAGAATGGACACTGAGTGTAGTACAATTGACATTGAGTGTTTTTTTTTTTGAGTTGGAGTCTCACTCTGTCGCCCAGAGGCACGCTCCCGGCCACCGCAGCCTCGACCTACAGGGCTCCAGCAATCCTTCCGCCTCAGCCTTCCAAGTAGCTGGAACTATAGGCATGTGCCACCACGCCTGGCTAATTTTTGATTTATTGTAGAGATGAGGTCTCGCCAAGTTGCCCGGGCAGGTCTCAAACCCGTGGGCTCAGGAAATCCACTCACCTCAGCCTCCCAAAGCGTGGGATTACAGGCTGAGCCACCGAGCCCGGCCGACATTGAGTGTATTAATTGGCAGAAGTAGGACTGATGATCAACAGAAGATGAAGGAAAATAAAATAAGAAATGAAACAATGAAGGAAAGAAAACGAGGAAGCGGTATACCAAGGGTGGGGAGAATTCTTGGTAAGTATACAAAGGGGGACCCAAAAAATGGAATTATTTTTTGGAGAGCAAGCTCCTTGTAGTACAGGATTTCCCCACTTGGTAAATGTTCTAGGAACCCATTGGCATCAACGTACCAGCTAGCATTATTGTAAGAAGCTGCATTTCACCTTCAGTGAATTTCTTTTGGATATTCTTTCAACGCGTTTGCCCATTTTATGCTGGGTGATTTATGAGTACAGCTGCCCACAGCTGCCCACAGCACACTGAATGATGTTCAGCAGTTTTTGACCAAAAATGTCATGGCCCCTGCATCCCACCCTCTCTATTCACTCAATCTCACACCAAGTGACTTTTTTTTGTCTCCCTGGATGAAAAAAGTCCTCAAAGGGAAGCATTTCACCAATGAAGAGGTGAAACAAAAAAACCACAGAAGCACTAATGAGAGACCCAAGAGATTAAAAAAAAAACTCTAAGAGAACTATTACTATATGAATTCCTACCCCACGTTCACTGTATTTGTTTGCAGTGTTTGTACTTAGAATTCTGTTAAGTTTAATTTTTGTTTGTCTCATAAAATAACCGATTGCTTCCGCAACTGCTGCTAGCAGTATGTGAATGTCAAGTAATAAACCCCTCCCGGACATTCCTTTGCTTAGCCTGCCTGCTGACATTCCACTCTGCTCATTTAGCAGCTCCCCCGTCAATCACAGGTAGCTGAGCGGACCAGACCAATCCCAAGTGCCCCCGTACCCATAGGAGAAATTACCCTATCATGTAAAAACAAGTTTAAAGTTCTTTCCCCTCCCTCTGTAATGATATATAAAAACTGCTTGCCATGCTGGATCGGGGCTCTCATCCCTGAAGCTGCTGCTTCGGGCGTGAGCCCAGACTCGAGCCTGAATAAAGACCCTAGTGTGTTTGCATCAGAGCTGGCTCTTTGTTGGTCTCTCGGATTCTGAAATTTGGGTTTAACACTAAAAGGCATCAAAATGAATGAGTTCAAAAACTGTTTTGGGCAGTGGAAAAAGCGTCTCGATAGGTGTATTGCTTCAAATGGACAGTACTTTGAAGGGGATTGAAATTTAAACATGCAAGAACAAATACACAGTTTTTTATAAATAAATTCCAGGGTTTTTTTGGGTCCCCTCTCACATACACATCTGTTTCCCAGCTCAACCTGCTGAGGGGCCCAGAAACACGATGAGTACACCCAGCACCTGGATCTTGTTTTCTAAATGCCATCTCCCAGGAAAGAGGCTCCTTGGAAAGACAACTGGTTCTAGGGCCATGACAAGGAAAATACAAGATGAGACCAGAGCGCCTAGCAGTGCTAGAAATAAGAAAGGGGCTCAAAACAGCAAAAAAAGTGGAGCATATCAAGACACACAGATGCCAGCCTCCAAGGACTCCCTGTGGTCAAGTCTGAAACAACTTGAGCAGCAAAGTAAATATCATGGTATTGGATTTCAACCCAAAATGTAAAATAAATATGAGTCCATACAAATATAAATAAGTTATTAAAGAAATGGGAGAGAAGAGACAGCCTTTCTTACAGAGGAATCCCAAATGGGCATTCAGTTTCTTCAGAGTGGAGAAGGCCAGCAAACACCATGCGAACCAAGTGACAGACACATCCTAACGTCACCAGTGACACGTCATATTGATAGAATTCACCTGCCGACACAAGGCAATGTTTTTTCCACACACTTGTAACCCCAGTCTAACCACGAGAAGAACATCAGTCAAACCCAGATGGAAGGACATGCCACAGGATACATGGCCTCCAGACTGTTAAGCAAAAGACTGAGAAGACGAGGAGTCTGGAGACAGGACAAGGAAATGCAGTGTGCTAGCCAGGTCTGACTCCTGGAACAGAAAGGATGTCGAAGCCGGGCTCGGTAGCTCAGCCTGTAATCCCGCGCTTTGGGAGGCCGAGGTGAGTGGATTGCCTGAGCCTGCAGGTTTGAGACCCGCCTGGGCA